ATGATTCAATCCTTCTTCCTACTCATGTGAAACGTCGGGCCCCCAAGTTGTAGTTGTTTATTCAAGCTGAATACTCTCACTAAAAATGTCTTCGCTTCATTTTCGAAACCCTCTTCACCCTCTTCTTCCTTGAGATCCCTTTTATTCTTGTTTACGATAGATCCTTGATCCAGGCGTCTCCTTTTTGCTTGTCTTGTTGCATCCCTGTTTTCTCCGAGTTTGATTAGGCAATCGGCAAAGTTATCGCTGACTGCCTTCTCCAAATCTCTTGTTCATTAATTTTTTTTCTCCCAATGATGTCAATGGCCTCTAATCTCCAGTCTTTTTATGCTTTCACTGTATGAAGCCCTTCTTTCTGTTGCCTTCCAACTGATATCGTGCCCAGTCTCTGCGATGTGTTCCGCCATATCTGGTCCTTCAGTATTCATTTTTTCAGAGCCTTTGATGTTCTTTGATTCGTATCTCGATTTTTCTACCAGTTTCGCCAATGTATTTCTGTTCGTAACACCGCATGCTATGCAGTAAACTCCTGAGCAATCCAATTTATCTGTCCACTCATGCTGCGTGATAGACTTGTGAAGAGTGTTGTTTTTTTCTTCGTGGTTACCTGAATATTACATTTTCTTAATATTGGCTGTTGACTTTGAGCTAGTTTACAGGAAGGAAGACATCCATTTTTGTTAGCCTTTCTCCATCTCTATCTTTCATAATCTCCATCCTGCAATAGGCTCTTCGCAGCCAGTATGTTTCTTTGAATTACTTCTCTCGGTTATGCATTACTGAGGAATATCCGAGTCAATTTTTCCAATTCTTCATCCCAGAATTCTACGTTTTAGGCTTCTGATAATCATGCTCCTCAGTATTCCTATCTTCATTTTGTAGTTGTGATGAGTATTATTTTGACATATGACTTCTTTCGGAACAATTTCCTCTTGAGTGTCCCAGTAGAGCAAATAACCTCCACATCTAGGAAGGCCAAACGCCCCTTTTCCTTTATATTCATTGTGAATTTGATTTTTTCATCAACCCCGTTCGTAAATTTCAGGAAATCCTTCAACTTTTCTCTTTCATGCGACAATATTGCAAAGTACCCATTCAGGTACCGGATAACAACTCTCGGTTGCAGCGGTGACACCTTGAAATTCTCTTATAATTTGTCCATATATATATTTGCCAATAGAGGTGAGATAGGTGATTATATAGAAAATCCAAATGTCTGTTCATAGTTGTTGCCATTGAATGTGAAGTAGGTACTACTTATTGTTCATGCATACTATGAACTCCGGAAGAGGTGCGTTCCTCTAGGTCTTCCTGATAATATGACCAATTTACGAAACCTGGGTCAAACAACTTCTGTACAACGAAAGGAGACCGCGAACATACAAAGGGTCACACCATCCTGGTCTTTCTACCTGAGATACATGTTGTTACTCAGTCAATACAATTTTTTGGCTTGATTTTTGTTTTTTTTTCCCGATTGATTTGCACTTACTACTATAAAGTTTTTGCTTGCCATCGCGTTACCTCATCTTGTTGCACTATATGTAACCTGACGCTTCGTAAAAAATCATAAATATGTACTTCTTAATAATTATGATTCTAATATTATCTTTATTTAGTTGCTCATTTTACTCATACAACTTCTATTTGTTTCATCGACATGGAAATATCCCCCCCGCCCATCACGAAAGTCGCCTCAACACCTTCGGTTGGTGTCATCAGTCTCTCTGGCGAGGCATTCGTCCAGTCTCCCATCGATCCTAATTCAGCTGATCCTGCTTCCTCAAGAAACTTGGGGGGCAATAAACAGGCCATATTTTCTGAACATCCGGTATCTGGGCGGCCTCTAGTTCATGTTCCCCCAAAGGCTAGCCAAACGGGTAACATCAGAGCCATTAGAAAAAATGATCGAGAGGCTTCCGAATCATTTTTGTCAGTTAGCTTGAGTTCATCTTCCCTATCTCAGGTAAGTCTTCCTAATTTACTTATCTGGCTTATATAACTTCCCGAGTCTACACCTCATGATAACATTTTATTTGCAAAAGGACATTTTTACTAATAAAACCGATCAAAATAGGTATGATAACGATGTTATCGATTATTTGGTCACCTTAACTCCCCTCTATAGTTGTTGATTACTTAGCCTAGTGATCTTGTGCTTAGGGGTCGATGAAATATGAAATGAAGAAAATAGTAACATAACTCGTTATGTTAGTCTGGGTTAATGAAGGCTTGTAATTAATGCGTTTCCTAAATGTAGTTTACCGTTCTTGCGGGATTCAAAATATATCACTTGGTTAATTATTTAACTTTTTAAACTAAATTAAATTATTACGAAGTCGGCTTTAGTAAGACGTAATATCGAACCTTCTCCTGAGTGTATATATCCTTTTCTTTTTAGGCATTATAATTATCACATATAACATGCATTTTAATGTTGGTTTACTTTTCAGTTCGTTCGAGGAGGGGTTCATAAATTGGCCCCACTGTAAACCGAAGGAGGATTGTCTTATATTTGACTATATTGGTGATAATAAATTCTCGGTTCACCTTTCAGCGACCCGATTAATCAGAATAGAGCTTTCGTCTGTTGGGACACATCGTCAGAGTAGCGTTAAGACAAGAGAGGTGGCTGGC